CAAGCTGACGTTTGGGTGGATAAGACAGTGAGGGCTGAAACTTGTCTCTTTGACTTTGATTCCTCTTATTTTGTTGCTTCTGTTCTCATCATCCCACTTTGTTGGTTTTGAAGTCTCAAGGTAAAATGCATTAATAACACCGACCTCCCTTCAAATGCTCCATTATTTCATTGCCATCCCTCAACACCTTCAATTAAATGTCGGCCTTCCTTTGAACATTAAAACATTGATGGAAAATACTAGTAAAAATCAACTTGTTTCGTGTGATACTTTTTCTTATAAATAAATAAATAAACTATAATTTAATTATCAAACGATATTATCTTGTCTTGTCTTAACACTGGATGGAATTTAAGAATCTAAATGATTAATTCTTCTTTGTGCTGTCAATGAAAATTGATAAATTTGTCAAAAGATTTTGGGTATAGATAATAACCCAAAGTGAAAAACAGAAAGGAGATGTAATTGTTGGCTGTTAGGTGGATTTGGAAACAAACCAAAAAAGGGAGACCTAAACGAAAATAGGAAAAGGATATTGGACCGCCCGTCTAATTAAGGCGGGAGATTAATCACAATTTGATTATATGCCGACTTTAGGAAACGAGCTTCCATACTCTGTCTCTGTGTTTATTTCGGTAATCATCATCTTCACAAATTCACATTTGATAACCAAAAGAAGCCAACAATATCAGCACAGAAAAAGAAACTCAAATCGGAAACGTTTCTGCTTTCTATGCCTGTGTTTCGGTTCTCTTTAATTTTTCTCTTACTCCTTTTTCATGGCGGATCAGTACGGAGCACCTGCGTCTTCAAATCCGGAACCCGAAGAAATCTCCACCCTTCTTGACCAACTCCTTCACAATTCCTCTGCTTCATCATCTTCGTCTTCTTCGTGCATGCAATTGAAGACTAAGTCTATTCACCATTTTCCCTCTCATGCGCCGGAATTCTCAACGCCCGCTGCTGACTCCCGGGCCGGAATGGCGATTCCGGTTGAGGATCAGTACCGACTTGGCGGATCGGCTGTTCGGGCCGAGTCGGAGCCTCGAGTCAATTTCTCTGATCCTGAAACTTATTTTGGAGTCAATGTTAAAGATAGCCCTGACATTGCGTTGTCTTCTGCCGGCGAATTTAGTCATGACAGCGAGGTTAAAGAATTGAAATTACTTTTCTTTTAATTTTCGAAGATCTTTCTTTCCTTAAAATAAAAAAAATGGCGAAAGCTTAGTTTTATTTTGGCCAATAGCGAAAGCTAAGATTAAGATTACCTTGTAAAATCTAGAAGGCTCAAGAGCCATCGGAGACGCCGTCAAATCAAGAACGGCCACGGAGTTCATCGAAGCGAAGCAGAGCAGCCGAAGTCCATAATTTGTCGGAAAAGGTTTGACTTTTCTTTAACATTTTGGTCGTGAATTTGAAATCTATAAGAAATTTGATTGATATTTGTTTTTGTTTGTTTGGCAGAGGAGGAGGAGTAGGATTAATGAGAAAATGAAAGCGTTACAGAATCTGATCCCAAACTCTAACAAGGTACTTAAGAAAAGCATAACCACACAGAGCCCTTTTTTTTAAAATAAAAAATAAAAAAATTGTTTTCTAATAAATGAGTTCCATGCTTTTGGAGTGATAGACGGATAAGGCTTCGATGCTTGACGAGGCGATCGAGTACTTGAAGCAGCTTCAGCTTCAAGTACAAGTGAGTTGTTCTCTTCTGATTCTGCCATTTTGTGTTTTCTTATTTTGTTGTGTTACATTGTCTTTTCAATTTTCGGCGTTAATTATCACGTGTCAAATTTTGCTGTTTATTAGTCAAATATTACGAAATTCCAATACAGCTGACCATGTCATTTAGAGATGGAATTTTTATTTAATTTTATTGAACAAAATGGTAGGAGTTACTACATATTACTACTACTTTGATTCTTATAGTTCCTATTTCTGTTTATGTCCTGAATTAGGTAATGCTGTATTATGATCTTGCACTGAGATCTTTAATACCTTATAATATGAAGAGTGTAATTCAATAATTGATGATTAAGTAACAAGTTATGAGATTAACATCTATCCCACTTAAGAAACGAGAAAGTGTATTATGATCTCTCTCTCCTATCTAACAAAATAAGAAACCTTCCTAAATTCACTTCTATCCATGAAATTTCCTACCTTTTTACCTTCTTTCTCCTGAGTGGGAGGCAGGAAGGTGCCCCTTTTCTCCTTCCTCACCTCTCTCCCCATTCCCATGCCTTCCACCTTTGCTTTTATCCTACTTCTCTGTCTCTTCATCCTCCAACTCTCCACCAAACTCTGTAAGCCATCATGTCTTGACTTTGAAAACATTATCCAATATATACTATAAACCTACCCTAGGCCCTGGCATATCCTCCTTTGCTGACATGCTTGCCTTTGCACTCGTAACCACATCACCAAGGTTGGAGGGCCTTTCTACCAGTTTGCCTTGGCTGCAAACATACCCTCCTGTGCCAAGCTCTAGGTTTGAAGAAACATCCTGGAGATAACATAGACCAACTTTGCCATCAGATTTTGCATCCAGAAATTCACTATTGAAGAGATGGTTGCACTTTCTGGTAGCCACATTATTGAATTCTCGCATTCAAAGAGTTTGCTGATCGGCTTTGCAGCTATAGCAACGCTATACCAACTGATCCCGCATAAAAGTCAATGTTTGCTGAAGCGCTGAAGAAAACCAGTGTGAATTATACTAAAGATCCTGCAATGTCAGCATTTAACGATGTCATGAAACCAGCTAAATTTTATAACATGTGTTACAAGATGTTACAGAGGACTGGGGCAATCAGCATCAGATGGTGCACTATTGAATGACTCTAGGACAAAGCAGTTTGTGCAATTGTATGCTACTAATCAGTCAACATCTTTTAATGATTTTGCACATGCATGGAGATAATTAGTGTTTAAGGGATTCAGACTGGGAGGAAAGAAAGGTTAGGCGGATGTGGTGCTTTAACTCTATTCAGACTTAAATCATTTTGGTTTTGCTGATGCCCATGAACATGTTCAGAGGAGAAAGGGATTTGTTTTCTGTTTATACATATATTTTGTGTGATGATGATAAGATAATTTGTTTGATTTGTTGCACATGATGGAATAGAATTCAAGAAAAAATGAGTGAAAGATGAATTGATATAAACTGGATTTGTTCTAAAATCATCTGTTTGGTTTTTGTGATGGTATGGGGCAATACAAACTGAGCTAGAATCATGAAATGCCATTTCTTTTTGTTGTGATTGCTATGCAGATGTTATCGATGAGAAATGGCTTGAGTTTGTACCCAATGTGCTTACCAGGAGTACTACAGCCAATGCAACTGCCTCCGACCAGCGTGGGCTATGATGAGGGAAATAGATTCTTCAGTCCCAACACAGGAGCAGGCACATTTTCGTCAAATGAAGAAAGCTCGATGAACACTTCTTTTAATCTTTCCAACCCATGCACTATCTCAAATCAGCCAATTCTTGCACCTTCTGGAGCTAACGTATCTAATTTGGAAGCTTCATTTGGTTTTGAATCATCTGCTGAGGCACACTATGGATCTTTCAGCCACTCAACATCTTCCAAGGTAATTTTAGCAAGAACAAGAAATGAATCTGTCAGAAAACTTCTTGGTCTAACTCAGGCCGTCGTTTTTGTAATGTGAAGGAAATCTGCAAGGAAGGCAGGTCACAACTGCAATTAGAGGTGAATCATGCTGGGAATAACTCTTCATCAGGCGTGTCTTAGCCAAGCAGAAATCCACGTGTAACTCTTCCTCTAGTTCAAAAACCATATAGAGCGCAAATGATATTGAAAATGATTGAAACTGATGACCTTTTTATACCTGTTAAGTTATTTATGTTATAAGTTGTAACAGGTTGACACTATGGGACTGATGCAGCTGGCATCCTTCTCATATGTAGGAAAAAAACCCGATGCTCAGTTGCAACTGTGCTTATCTCACCTCCCCTGCATAAAGTGAAAATTATCATTTATCAATACATGATTTTCTCTGCGTCGTATAGAGTTGAAATTGTTGCTAGTCTTCTCAAGCAAAATGTTGTGGATTCCCTCCCTCCCTGACCATCTCCATTCTATCAAAAGTGTAGGAATGATGCACACTTAATTCAGCTACCTAGCAAAAATGTGCTCAAGTCTCTGTTAATTGTCACGTGAAGGCATATCCCTTGAACAGATGGGACGTGGAGTTGGTCCCAGAAGGAGAGGGATTGGGGTTCGCGAGGAATCTTGATGGCAAAAAGAGTGTTAGTTTTGGGCGAGTAATGATGATTGGCAGTGGAATATAAAAACAAAAACTTTCAGCTTTAACTCGTTTTGTTCACTAGCCTTTCTTTAAGAGAATCTTTAAAAAGCTATGATAAGTTACACTTGACTATAGGCTATCGCAATCATCTTTGAACCCGAAAAAGGAAGAAAGAAGAAAGGTTTCTGAAACTGAAACTCTCTTGGCGTTTTATATATGATTGAGACAAGGATACAGCAAAGAAAAGGATTAGCTAGCTGGGCTTTTGTCTTCAGTTTCTGCACTTTAAACTGATATCCATATCATTAGTTGCTTGAAATACTTACCATGCTGAACAAACAAGACAGATGGAAAGCTCCATCCGGAATTGCAACATTGTTTTTCTTTACTTTGTCTTGCTTGACGCGTCTGGGCAGCTAATATCTTGCTGCCCCGGAGGTTCTCCATCAAGCCCAACTTTACTCACATTTGCAACCCCTGCCATTTAAAGCTAGCCCTTGCCTCTATTTCATTTCTTATGATGAAAATTTGCAAAGGTCAGGGTCGTAAATAAAAGGGAACAAGATGGTGAAGATGGTGCAAGTCTAGACTTGAGAAATCATTTAGTGAACAACTGAACAAAGAGCTTAGCTTCCGTTTTTGTTTGGACGCCAAATAACGGCATTGCCCCATGATTGTATTTTGGTCTTTTATTTCCTTTAAAAGCCCATTTCATCATCGTCCTTTGCACTTTTGCCACCTTTTTTGCGGTTTACAAAACTTTCTTGTAAGTTTTGAACTTCCTCTCCATATTATAAATGTACAAAACTCACCTATCTCTGCAAGCAAAAATATATGTGATAAACCCTTCTCTTTTGGCTTCTTTTTCGCTTCTTTTCCTGGTTGATTCATCAGGCTAGCCAGGGGAATTGTGGTTGTGGTAGTGAAGAACAAGTTTGGTCATGAAACCATATAATTCAAGCTCTAATAGCCCAGATATAGATATGGAGATGGGCACAGTAGCCATAGCACAGGGGGTTCAGAAGAGAAGTAGAAAAGGAGGCTTCACAAATGGAAAGGCTAAGGTTTGTGGTGATGCAGGTGATCAATCCGTGCATGAGATGCATATATGGACAGAAAGAGAAAGGAGGAAGAAGATGAAGAATATGTTCTGTAGTCTGCATGCTTTGCTTCCTCAACTTCCTGCTAAGGTAATAATTTATATAAGATTGAAAAAACTTTTGGCCTAATGGAGATGAAAAGAAGAGAATTTGCTTTCCATGATGTCTATATCCAACTTTCATCACTTGCATGAAGGTTTTACTCCGAGAGGAAAAAAAAAAAATCGTGATTACAAAAGATACGGTTTAATTTTAATCTCTAGAAAGAAGTAATGTTGTTATACAACTGCCTCTTGTTCTTAACCTTTCTGGTAGAATTCTCTGAAGTAAAATTTGTTTTCCTGAAAACTGTTCATGTTCAACTTTTGATTACTTTGGGTTCTCAAAAAGAAAATGTGATGAAAGTTCTTCTCACTTTTCCATAAAATTAAATGTTAGCATACATTTGGATTGTTTTTGTAAGAACGTTGCTAAAGACAAACTAAAGATATAGAAGGCAATTCCTGGTACAAAAGTAGAGTAGGAGCTTATAGCCTTGCACTTGACCAATGACCATATATATGGTGCAAGCTTGGCAGAACTCAGCTTTCTCTTCCAGAGTTGCATTAGTTTTCTTCTGTGTGCTTATAAACTACGTTCGTGATAAATGTTATTCTTAGGTCTCTTAATCTGAAAATGTCTGTTATCTTGGTACACGATACATTAAATGTATAGCAGATAGACCCATCGATAAAAAGAACAAACCATTCTTATAATTGTGTTTGGGAAGTCAAATCAACTCCCTTTATAGTTCGAGAAAGACACAAATAAATTTCACTAGACTAGTATATATGTTCAGATAGAATATCGAATCATTGCATGTCGATTTTAAATTGCATCAGAACCGGACTCATGTCTTGCATGTACAGGTTTCCATTCTATGACACCTGATTTCTTTAAACTCTACAATCTATTCTAGTCCAAGAGAGCTAATTCTTATTGTATGTCCTAAGGAGCTTGCTTTGATTTCTTCCTTTGAAATTAATATATAAAAGGCACCAACATGTTGCAGACGACCATAAATACAACAGACTGTCATGCTTAAATTTATAACTGTCTGTTTTATTTCTTCTCTTTTGGCATGAGAGGTAGTATATTTGGATATGACATTGCATTTATTTGATTGCATTAGAATTGAACTAGTTTTGCGTTTGTAGTTCCCATTTTTGGGTTTCAAAATATGGATGGAAAGAAATTAAGCAAATAGGACTACTGGTACTGGTACTAAATGCAATTAACCAAACTGTTTAATCTTTAATCTTGTACAGGCAGACAAGTCTACTATTGTTGATGAAGCAGTAACATACATCAAGAACCTTCAACAGACTCTCCAAAAGCTTCAACAACAAAAGCTTGAGAAACTAAGGAGTGCAACAGTGGTTGATTATGACCAATCATCGATAATCACATCGCAGGTGCAAGTTCCTGAATCAAGGGAAGCATTCTTGGCAGATCAGGGACCATCAAATAACTATCCAATGACCACAGATGTGTCTCAAACATTTCCAGCCTGCTTTCAGACATGGTTTTCTCCAAATGTTGTCATTAATATGTGTGGGGATGATGCACAAATCAGTGTCTGTTCACCAAGGAAGCCAGGGGTATTCACCACCATCTTGTACATACTAGAAAAGCATCAGTTGGAGGTGGTGTCCGCTCACATTTCCTCGGATCAATATCGTAGCATGTACATGATCCATGTCCATGTAAGTATGCTCCTGAGAAACTTGGCCTCTTAAAAGTTAGATGCTTTTTCATCTAGGGATACCGTGTAGTATCCTAGTAGTATATTAATTTGTAATTAATAGGTGGAGTGAAGAAAATTTTGGTTAGAATTAGTTGCTATTTAATGGCAGATTTTACCAGATATATAATTAATAGCATGATTTATTCATTCTGACATTGCTAATCGTTTGGATACATGGAATGAAACTTGTAATTATAATGCCTGTAATTTTCCATGAGTAACTTTATATGCTATTCCATTAGGCTTTAATGGTCGCAAAACCTAGAGGTAAATAAAAGTAAATGTGATGAGGACAGTAGAAAGAAACCATGGTCCTTGTCTCCATGGCACAGTGAATAAAGATACAGAAACGTCGGCTAAAATGGTTCTTTATTCTTTTCTTTAAATTTTAGAAGACAGCTATGAGAACTCTTTTCTTAAGCTTACCATTGAAATTCGAAACGCCATCAAAAGACAATCCTGCAAGTTTTAGTAGCACACTTCAATGATCTGCTCTTCCAAAAAGATGTGATTGATGCGTTCGTATACAATAAGAATCATGCCTGCCATATTAAAATACTTTCCCTGACAATGTGGGGTTTTTTTGGATTCCCTCGATTAGGCTGGTGGAGCGTCTGACCAATTTTCGGAGGCAGTGTCTGTGGAGGAGACATTTAAGCTGGCTGCAGGAGAGATGAACTTATGGCTCCTGTCATGTTAATACTATAATATATATCAACATAACCTAAGGTCAGTATACTTTCCATTGCAGTAAAAAGGGTGATTCTTTTGAATTACTCAGGGATGCCCACAGGCTAGAATAATCCGAGTCAGCCTTGGCTACAGGAAATTGATCAGGAAAGCTTCTATCTGCTGCAAATCCACTGCTATTGGGGCCGGACAAATCGTTTTCAGCAATAATTAAACCTCCAAACTGAAAATTTGATGATGTAAATATGAAGAATACAAAATAAGTATAAAAGAGTTCAGTTTAACAATACTATTTCATCGCCTTGCGCTGATACATTTGGGAACCTTGCCAATGATTCTCGCATTGAAATGGAAATCTAATTGAACTCCAGGTTGAGGAATATAATCCCCAAAATGAACTATTGTAAATGGAGAAAAAGCGTACATATAATTAAAGCTTGGCCTTAAAGTCTGGGGACATTATTGAAGCCACATGATGAGGAAGTCTCTCGCGCGCATTGCTAACTTATCATTCTCCTTTTGCAATCTCATGGCGAACATCACAACGTGGCTGAAACACATTCGTCAACATCATTAATTTCTTCTCCTTCTCTTTTCCTCCCTGTTGCTGCATAATAAATGCAAAAATGATGCCAAAACTCCACATGGGGGTTCCTGTGTGTGTTAGAAGAAAACATCCCTAAATTTTTCGAAAGTAGAAGGAACAAAGCAACGCATAAAAAGCTAACAAATTCTTGGCTTTGCTTCTCATTAACTACCATACCTAACAATCGAGGCATTGAAATCATGAGACAATTGTCATCAGTGACATTTGAGCACGACCCCAAAATCATATTTTTAACCATCATGGACTTGATGCGAACGCCGTCGGAGTAATTTCGCTGTAAGGGGGGGAAACCTGGCGGACCCCTTGAACAGCCTTTCGCTTGCGCCTTTCACATGGTCTTTGTTGCTTTGTATATAAGGGCAAAGGGTCAGTTAATGGAGGCACATGAGGTAGGAATTGTGACTTCTCCCAATGTGACAAACCAATCGAACATTCAACATCTCAAGGGAAAGCCAAGGATTTCTTGCTCTTTTAGTTCATCATGTTGACAGCAAACATTCATGCAGCATATAGATGATGAGACAGGTAACTTCACCCTTGAAAACACCTCTGCATGTGCCTCGTGAAAAAGGTACGGCAAAGTTTTATTTTGTCTTATGTTCTTGTCAGATGAGATAGTAATACAGTAATATAGCGCTCCGTAACATAACAAGGAGGACAGGAGATAACTACCACTTCATGACCGCGAACTGTAAAAAACCGGCGGATTGACTGACTAACTGATAAATAGACAGATGGAGCCACGCCTCCAGGTGTGGAACATTCCGGTGATGGTAGACGGGCTGGCATGAACGACCCATTTCAGGCTGTGGACCCAAAAGTTAGCCCAACTTGATGTTAACCCTATTTGCATGCCATGCATCATGCATGACAATTGACAAACAAGACATAAAAAGGGTTTAAGTAATTATTTATTTTATAAATAAAGGGGTAAAAAAACCTATAATCTTGGTTTAACCTTTTGCAGGGAAAAGAGTATAATAAAGAAATGCAATAAATAAAGAATGAGAATAATCCCAGTGAGAAAGTTTATCTTTATTTAAAAGCGAATCAGCAGGTCCACAGGCCAAAGTCAAAGACGCTCACCTAAGTCACCTTCCTTCCGACACACAGCCGAAAATATTTAAACCCTAAAATATTAAACTGGAATAATTCTCATCTTCCCTTTTCTCTTCCTCTTTCATTACTCGCATGAAGAAACAAGCCCCCCCAAAACTCCCAAATCATCATTCCAAATCTGGATTCTCCCTTCATCATATGCATATAAAAAAGAATTATACTACTCACTATCACAAATAATTGACTCTTTTAATTCAAGATTATACAATCATTTAGTGTAGAGCTAGTTATATAAGTTAATGATTAGAAAATAAAAAATTATACTAGTGTTATACTACATTATTATTAATAATTTTTGCTAGTTATAAAGATAAATGTCTATATCATGATCCACTCACAGTATATAAAAAGCTTGACATGAAAATAAGCTTGGCTATAATTAGATTTCCCACTATGCCAAGATTAAGATTAGACCATTAAATAAGCCACTAAAACTTGAGTGGGAAGTTTCCCAATTTTTGCCTCTGGTAATTCTATAAGTCGCATCATGCCAGCTGCTGCTCTCGTTTTCTTTCACTCTCTACTAAAATCCCACTCTACTCCTCACTGTTTACACTGCTTTCTCTCTCTTTAATGACCTCATATAGTCATCATTCCTTCAACAGTTCCACTCCTCCTCGCATTCCCCATTCTCTCGCTTTACTCTTCTTCATTTCTTGACAAAAACAATTACCTGAATTTGTCCCCTTTTCCCAACGCAAAAAGAACCAAAAACCAAGTAACTGGAAAGGAGCAGAAGAAGAAGAAGAAAAGACAACACAAATAATGTCTGATTATTCCTTCTTAAACGATCGGCTCTCAAAACGCACATCAATTTTTGGTTTGCGTTTATGGGTTGTCCTTGGAATCTGCGTTGGAGCTGCTATAGTCATTGTTCTCTTCCTTATCTCCCTTTGGTTCACTTCTAAACGCCAAAACAAAGCCACCAGCAGCAACAACAACAACGCTAAGTCCACTCATAACTCTACTATCCCCAGTGTTTCTAAAGAGATTCAGGAAATCCGGGTCGACCCTTCTCGTCATTCTAATCCGGACAGTAAGCTTCACCAAACTCCCAACCCGGACCCACTTCCAGAATCCGAGCCTGTCTTGGTACTTCACTCGGAAGAAGACAGCAGCCCTGTTTCTGGGCGCAACAGAATTCACATTGAGATAGGGAAGGATCGTCGGATTGCGTATCCGGAGCGTGGGGCCGGGTCGGATCATGGGTCGGGCGAGGTCCGGTCTGGTGATCAGCGTATGGCGGTCACGGAAGTTTCTCACTTGGGGTGGGGACATTGGTATACTTTGAGAGAGCTTGAGGAGTCTACTAATGGATTTGCTGCAGAGAATGTGATTGGTGAAGGTGGTTATGGAATTGTTTATCGTGGCGTTTTGGAAGATAATACTAAGGTTGCTGTCAAGAATCTGCTAAATAACAGGTAAAAGAAAGATGTATCTTTATTTTTTTGGCTGATATTTGAGGTTATTTGGCAGTTTTTGATACATTTGTCGGATGAGTGTAATTTCTTGAGAAATAAGAGGAGGCAGTGTTGCATGGAGTTTTGTGTTGGGAAAAATTGAGTTTTATTTTGGGTTATTCTTGTTTTTCTCTTTAGGGGTCAGGCGGAAAAGGAGTTTAAGGTTGAAGTGGAAGCAATTGGACGCGTGCGTCATAAGAATTTGGTGAGGTTACTTGGTTATTGTGCGGAAGGAGCTCAGAGGTGCTTACTTACTGACTCTGTTATTTGTTGCATTTGATCTTAATTTGCAGCGTGGAAAGTTTGAATTTTTGTGTGAAGCTTCCAACTTTTATGAATTGCTAAATTTCAGCATCATGCATGGATTTGTTAACATATTAATTTGGTGGTTATAGGATGCTTGTTTATGAGTACGTTGACAATGGGAATTTAGAACAATGGCTTCATGGAGATGTTGGGCCTTGCAGTCCTCTTACATGGGAGATCCGTATGAACATAGTGCTTGGAACTGCAAAAGGGTAAATTTTTAGTTGATTGAAAATGGTACAGAGCTTAAATTCTCCTTAGTTTTCTCCCCTTCGATTGCTTACAATGTTGTTGTCTGTAACAACTGAAATTTGATTTAGATTGACATATCTGCATGAGGGACTTGAGCCTAAGGTTGTTCATCGAGATATCAAGTCAAGCAACATTTTGCTTGATAAGCAGTGGACTCCAAGAGTATCTGACTTTGGCCTCGCAAAGCTCTTGGGCTCGGAAAGGAGTTATGTTACAACTCGTGTAATGGGAACGTTTGGGTTAGTTGAACTTCTCTTTGTGAAAATCTTCTTGTTTGTTTAGTGTTATGATCTGGCCATGGCCGAGCAGTTACCATTGGCTCTGTTTTGTAGATATGTGGCTCCAGAATATGCTAGCACTGGCATGTTAAATGAGAGAAGTGATGTATACAGCTTTGGCATTCTTCTTATGGAAATAATTTCTGGAAGAAATCCAGTGGATTACAGCCGTCCTCAAGGAGAGGTTTGTTGGCATTAATTAAGTCAATTGAAAATGTTGTCATATGATCAATTCTAGATGGCTTTTCTTGGTCCTTTTGCTTTTGAATGTATGTAAGCCGTTTCAACTTTCAGGTAAATCTGGTCGAGTGGCTCAAAACAATGGTTACTAACCGGAATGCAGAGGGTGTTTTGGATCCAAGGTTACCAGAAAAGCCCTCTTCAAGAGCACTGAAGCGAGCACTTTTAGTCGCTTTACGCTGTGTAGACCCAAATGCTCAGAAAAGGCCAAAGATGGGGCATGTGATTCATATGCTTGAAGCTGATGAGTTTCCATTTAGAGATGTAAGTTGACATTTGATTATTGATACTTGTACCTAATGTTAGTAACATCATTATCTCCAGAATGTGTGTTTTTATTTTAATCTCTTATCATTAGTACTTAATTTTAATTATGTACATCCCCATGCTTTTGGTTGTTTAGTTTATGGAGGGCATTTCCTAGACAAACTGGTTTATGGTAGATTTGGTCTTACAACTCTTGCTTCCATATTCTTTACCTAGATATTTTTTAAGGCAATATATATTGGTCAATTTAATGCAATGAATCATATCTTAGAATCACTGGGGTTAGCAAAGATGTAAATTGATCATGTATACTGTCTCATTGTTATTGTTGTTATTGATGAGAAAATCAAGATGAGATTAGCAACTTTCGTTGGGAAATGAAATATACTTTTATATTACTTAAATAAAGTACCCATGTTCCTTTAGGATCAATTATTTGATAATTTAGTCCGACTGTGTTGCAAAATCAAATTTCTTGAACTTAAAAATCTTGCCTAAATGTATTGATGTTATTCTACCACTTGGTACTTTTCTTTACAGATTGTTATGTATTATCTCTGTTTTTCATTCTGCATTTAAATTCCAGGACCGCAGAGCCGGTCGGGAAAGCATTCGCATGCCACAAGATGGTGCGAGGGATAGATTGACAGACAAACGTGTAAATGAATCAGGTGACAGTAGTGGGTATGAGAGTGGTGCCCAAGCCAATAGATCACTATGGAGAAAACAAGAATCGGAGGAGCAATAGCTTTGAAAACTCAGGTTAAGGTGAAATGACACATCTTGTTTAGCTAATTATCACTTTCATTGAGAGCCAGCTGAGGCAAACACCACTTCCACCCTGTGTATATGCAAAATTCATGTTGTCTTGAAATGCAATTTTTTTTTCTTGTGTAGATTATGTAGCATTTTATGCCAAGCTCAGTATGCCATTGGCTATAATATAGATGCGTGTAATTCTGTTTCTTCCTACATAGTTTCATGTGGTGATATGAATTTATTAGGTTTCTTGGCTTATCACCAAATCATTAAATTGTAGTGTCCGTGGATAATCTGATAATTCTCTATTGTAGCTAGGGTCATTGAATGACTAGAATCAAACAAGGAACAAATGCAAAACCCAATTTATGAACATGAATCTACTGTTCATTTCTTTTGCAATCATAATTGCCGACAGGCGACAAAAAAGTACATCAATGTATTGCTGCAGAAGATGTTGCTGGCATAAAGGCTGGTGGATTTCATTAGTATAGGCACAAACATGAACTTTGAACACAAAATCCCCTTGATTAGAAACGATTAAAGACAGATACCTTTCGTACGAAGTTTTGGTGGGGGTTGAATATTAACATTGGGGTCCTACGGCTCACATGCATCTCTATGCATTGCCCTGCTCCTCTGGGTTTTTAAAGGGGGTGGGGGCTTTGTTTGCGACAGGAGAAAATCTTGACAGCTAAAGGTGCACAGAAGGGCTTGGAACCATTGGATTTGGACCTCTTCCTTTGTGTGGTTTGAAGGGGCTTTCACGCTTTCCTGTTTAGGCCCTTGGTTCCCCACTCGTGCTGGGCACTCATTTCCTGTTTGGGTGGCTTTAAATTTTGCAACTCTTTCTTTTTGACTGTTTCTTCAAAATTGACCTGTCGGCCGGCCCATAGCCTTGCCTGGCAATGCTTATTAAGAACCCTCTTGGGAACATAGAAGCTCAAATTTCATAGCACATTTCTACCAAATATGGGGATTCCAGGTTTGGCTGTATATGAGAAGGCTCCATTTTGGACCCATTTTTATCATTCTCATTAATTGAAGAAACTTCGCTTTTGCTGCAGGAATTATCCCAACAAAATGACTTTTGCTTTTTGTCCTTTTTGATGTCTTCTTCTTCAACGTATCTTTTTGAATAATTAATGTATGAATCTCATTTTCCAGCTTCAACAAAATATGTTTTGAATATTGAATTACATGGTGGATTTGATCATCTACTTTAATACACACAGAGATAAGAAGTTATAGACTTCAAACCTACCAACATTGGGATGCATGGAATAATGATAATAATAATAATATAAATTTAGAGGTAATCAAGCAATAACGTTTTAAAATTTATAAATATAAGATTATAATATCTATTTTAAATAACAAAAAAAAACCCATAGTAAGGTACACACACTATAGTTGGGTTTCAACCTTTGACAAATGGAGTAGGTTTGGGCCTTTTGGGCTTCATGGTTGCATTGTTATACCTGCCGTTTGGGTGAACGGAAAGGTGACCCGTTCCAGCCACCATTGGGGAAGTACAACTGCACGCTTAGAATGACACCTGTCATACTCTAGTCTTAACAGCTTAAATTCTCTTCTACTTTCCCGAGCTCCGCTCTCCCATCTCAGAGATAAGTCAGTTGTGATTCCTCCCGTTTCAGTTACAGTAAGCTCAATTTTTCTTTTTCTCGTTTTGCTTCTAGTTTTATTTACTATTTTAATATGATCTTTTTGGAATTACTTGGTAAATATTCGTCTGATTTTTGGTCAGTTTGACCCCATTGTAGAATTGTTAGTTCGAGAAATACTGGTGTATCTTTGTCGTGTGATTGGTAGAAGTCTGCAGTGTTTCAGATTTCTGGTTCATTCAAAGCCTGAAGTTATCAAGTTAATAACCAGACATTCATTTCCTGATTCATAGTCTCTTGAGTATATATACATAGAAGGTCTTACCTAGAAGTTGAGGAGGACCACTATGGGCCTTGATACTATGTGAGAATATTGATCAATCCACTTGACATGACCGTAAACCACCTGGGGAGCTTCTCCAACGATCTCTACACTCAGAACAAACTCTGTTTCCGATATTTCTCTGTGAATGTTAGAGTAGGAGGCTCTACTTTTATTGTCGTTCTACTAGAAGTTGTTACAACTGCCTGATAAACGGATTTGTCATCTCCTACGTTAGTCACAACCCTGGTAAAGTTGTTTACTTTAAGAGAGCTGTCATCTTTGCTAAATATTGCAATAAAGGATGGGTAGTTTAGTTCAATTTTCTCTTGGCTGCAATTCCATTGACTTCTTCTAAGAACGGCTTTCATCTGGGCGTCATTGCAGCCAAGGTTGCACAGGAAGTCTATGTAATCCTGGAATTCAATGTCGTAGATAAGTCCAGGATCCATGGCTTTATTTGGCTTGATGTGGCCTGCTCCGTAATCTAGAGGCGTTCCAGGAAGGTCAAGAAATTGGTTTGTCAAGGCAGTTTCGTTGTTGTTTATATTATATGCAGTGGTCATCATAGCTGATCGGATGGCTGCTGGGCTCCATTCTGGGTGAACAGCTTTCAACAAAGCTGCCACACCAGCAACATGGGGTGCTGCCATTGATGTGCCTGAGTATAATGCATAGTCTGTCACCAACTTATAGTTACCTGTTTCTGTGAAAGGCCTATTTGGTGCTACTGCTGCCAGCACATCAACTCCTGGAGCGATAATATCAGGTTTTAGAACAGTTGGGTTGACTGGATCTGGTCCTCTCGAAGAGAAATCAGCCACTTGGGGTGCTGGTTTTGTACCCAAACTTGTGAACATGAACCTCATGCTTCTTATCTCTGCCTTACTTGCATTTTTTGCATACTCTCTTACGAACATTCCTGAACTTGTTGGCAGAACCAGACTAGGAATGTAGTAGTCTTCTGGGTCTAAGGTTGATCTGTCTGTCATAAATATTCCTGCATAAGCACCTACTCTGTCAAGCTCCTTCATTTGACTAGAAATGTCAATCTTACTGCTGTTGTCACATACGACTACCTTTCCAGCAATTTCCTTTGCATCCAGAGCTTCCATGTAGCATATTGCTTTATTTGCATCATCTTTGCCATAATATAGTGGTGTATTAGTAATGTAAATGCTCTCCAGGAAGTATGACGTCCCTTCAAAAGTAACCCCATTGCCTAGAGTTACTGCTGCAGTGAAACTGCGATCAAGTGTGGCAGCCCCTACAGTTGTGATCCATTGTATGTTGAATTACGAGCTCCATCATTTCCAGCAGCACAAACAACAAAAATCCCTTTCTCAACCGCTGAAAGAGAACCAATGGCAATTAGGTCGTTGAAATAAGGTGTCTGGTCGAAACCAAGAGATAATGACATGATATCAACGCCATCTGCAATTGCTTGGTCCATCCCAGCTAATACATCACTTGCTGTACTATTTCCTGAATCTGTTTCCCACATGACTTTGTACATGGTGACATGTGCATGTGGTGCTACTCGGCTCGCTGTGCCTCTTGCATGCCAAAGTGACTCACTCCTAGTACATGATTACCTGCAGCTGTTGATGATGTGTGAGTTCCATGCCCATCAAAATCTCTTGGTGAGTCGTAGTCTAATTCCTTGGAGATATTTCCTTCAGCAGCTTGGATTCCTTTGCTAAATGATCGAGCTCCAATGAGTTTTTTGTTGCAAGCTGATGGGCTGAAGGCTGTGCCATTCTCACACTTTCCCTTCCAATTCTGTGGTACTTGTGGCATTCCCTTGTCATTAAAACTCTCACTCTCCGGCCAAATTCCTGTATCAAAGACAACTCTGATCACACGTTCTCCATATGATGCAGCATGCCATAAGCCAGAATTATGTTCTAGTCTAAGGAACTCCAGGGAGTGTGTCGTGAATAGCTTGCCAAATGACTCCTCATATGTAGCCAGATGAGCTGGAGATTTCTCAATTTCTGACAGTTGAGAGGATGTGAGCCTAGCACTAAAGCCATGAATGATATGGTTGTAAGAGTAAAGCAACTTTTCTTCATCATCAACAGGATTTGACAATGATCTAAGAGTAGACCGGTGCCATAACTCATGGGTTGAGAATGGAGTAGGTTTATGAGAATGGTCCATGTGGACTACGTATGTCTTGTATTCTTCAGGTTCTGACATGGCATTATTGATCTCAAGCAACAATAACAAAAGTAACCATGACAGAACGAAGAGTAACTGTAGAAATTCATCCTTGCAGTCATAGTTTTACAGAAAGAGGAGAAGACCAGTAAAGATTTGAATTTGATGGTTTTTGTGATCCCACATCTATAAATGCCGAACGCAACAGCTTTGTTAATTGCAGGACGTTAACTTCAAGTTTGTATGTCTGTTATATTTGATTTTTTCTCTGTGTCAAATTCCCATGGTATCTTCACAAACGTTAACTTCAACCTTACATGAGACAGGTTGGGTCTTTTTCATTTAATTTTGTTAGCTTCTCAGACGGAGTTTTGTTTGGTTCATTTGGTTTAATGCTTTTACTAGCTTGTCAGATGTTTGTCTTATGATGCAGATATTCTACTCCTTCCTTCATCTGTAAATTATACTAACTTGTAAAAGAAAATTAACGGATTTTTGCTTTCCGCTTTCTTCATCTTCCAGAGAAGTTCTTTCCCCATTTGTTAAACTATAATTTCCCTCATCAGTCATTTGTGAATAAATCTAGGGTATTTCCTTTCCCTTTTCTTCTGCTTTCGCCCTTTGTCTGTTTGGTCATTCTATGTAATCTTACAACAGCCAAAAGACAATAGCAAAGACCAATCTGATGCTTAAAGCCAGTTCTGGAATATTATTGGTTATAATCCAGCTATATAAATGTCAGATTGAATTGTTGCATTCATTATGTATCACACACAAAGAAAAAAAAACGAAAGAAAAAAGATCAAAACAAATATATAGTAAAAGATTCAAGAATGATGTAGGCTTTGGCACTTTCAAGTTCTTGGGGTTGCGTTAATGATCCTTGGCAGCAATAACAGCAGCCATTCTAGTTCACTGTAGCGAAAGATAAGATTAACTTTAAGAAACCTAATTCTTTAAATAGTTGAGGTAGATAAGGAAGGTGATGAGGATATTTCGAGGTTTTCTAGGTAGCATGGAGTCACTTTTTGGATGCATCTACTCAGCCTTCAGCTTTGATGACAACGTGAGCCGGGTCACAAACAAGCCTTCCTTATCGTATATATTTTAAAGTCCTATTAGAGTTGTTGAATATATTTATTTACTTTTTAGTATCTTTTCTTATCTTTTAGTTTAGAAGCTATATTTAAATATTTGCATCTAAATTTAATAAATGATTGGACTATCAAGTTAGAGATTGCCTAGTGATTCTTTTTTTTTTTAAAAGTATAAAGTTAAAAGATCGATTTGATACTTTATTGAAACATAAATCCATTCTAAATCTGATGTGATAAAAATAATAATAATTTGAATCTAATCAATCAAATTTGAACTATTTAAAAATTAATTTAGAATTATCTAAATTCAAATAATTCATTCAAATTTAATTTAATTTAATTTTAAAAAATTTAATAATTTGAATTTAAAATCATCTTTATTCGAAAAAACTTAAATATGAAATGACCTGATTCAATTTGACCTAACCCGTCCAATTGCCATCTCTAAACTTAAATATTGAGGAGTTATTCGATAAAAAATAAGAAGTAAGCACAATCTGAAAATTTAGAGATAAATAATTATGCTAAGAATGCTCGTCAGAAATTCAGGACCACCACGGGGCTTGCGACGGCGTGGTTGTTTTGATCAATCCACTTCAGATAACCGTAGGCCACTGGAGGAGCCTTACTGTCCATCTCTACACTCACAACATAAGTTTGCTTTTGATATTTGTTTGTGAAAGTTAGAGTGCCAGGCTCTACTCTAATAGACATTCCATTGGGAGTTTCTGCAACTGCCTGGTAAACTGATTGGTCGTCTCCCACGTTTGTCACCACCCTGGTAAAGTTTTTTACGTTTGGAGAGGTACCGTTTTTGCCAAACATGGCAACGAAGGATGGGTAGTTTAGGTCAGTTCCCTCTTGGCTGCAATTCCATTGGCTTTGTCTAAGAATAGCTCTCATCTCCGTGTCATTATAGCCCAGGCCGCATAAGAAATCAACGTACCCTTGCCAATCTATATCATAGATGAGTCCAGGAGACATGGCTTTATTTGGATTGATGTGACCTGCCCCAAATTCTAGAGGTGTTCCAGGAAGGTTAGTCAGTTCGTTTGTCAAAGTGGTTCCATTGTTGTCAATGGTATCTGCTGTGGTCATCAAAGCTGATCGGATAGCCGCTGGGCTCCATTCAGGGTGAACAGCTTTCAGCAAAGCTGTCACTCCAGCAACATGAGGAGCTGACATTGATGTGCCCATAATAATGCATAATCTGAGGCCACTGGATAGTTGCCTATTTCTCCGACTGGAATTAATGGTGGGAATGCAGCCAACACTTGAACCCCTGGAGCAATAATATCTGGCTTTAGAATGTTCGGGTTGACCGGGTCTGGTCCTTTTGAGGAGAACTCAGCCACTTGTGGCGCTGGCTTCCTGCCGAAGCTTGTGAGCACGAACCTCATGATTTTCACCGTTGCCTCCCCAGCTGCCCCTATAGCATACCTTTTAATCAAAGCACCAGAAGAAGTTGGTAAAACCAAGCTGGGACTGCTGAGTCCATCAACACCAAAAGGGGTCCAATCTGCCTGAGGATACCCGCAACTGCACCAACATTTGCAAGCTCTGTCGCTTGGTCATAAATGCTAACCGTGTTACTGTTGTCACAGATGACTACCTTTCCAAAGACTTCGCTCTTATTCAATGCTCCAATGTTGCATATTGTTTTGTTAAAATCACCTTTGCCATAGTACAAAGGTGTGTCAATAATTAGAACACGTTCTGGGAACTCTGATTTTCCTTCGAAGGTTAGGTTATTCCCTAAAGTCACTGTTGCAGTGAAACTCCGATCAAGTGTTCCAGCCCCGACCGTTGTAATCCATGGTGCTGCATTATGTGTAGAATTATGTACTCCATCGTTCCCAGCAGCGCAAACAACAACAATCCCCTTCTGAATTGCTGAAAGAGAAGCAATGGCTATGATATCTTGGAAATAAGGTGTCTGCTGAAACCCTAGAGATAGTGACATGATGTCAACACCATCTGAAATCGCTTGATCCATAGCAGCAAGAACATCACTTTCTACAATAAATCTTCCTGATGAGACTTTGTACATGGCAACATGTGCACGAGGTGCAATTCCTCTAGCTATGCCCTTTGCATATCCAAATTGACTTGCACCTGGTACATGGTTACCTGCGGCTGTGGATGATGTGTGCGTTCCATGTCCGAGAAAGTCTCTTGGTGAATCGTCTGGCGAATCTGTTATACCAGCGGCTAGGCTTCCTTTGATAAAAGTTTGGGCTCCAATCAACTTTCTATTGCATGGAAAAGGATTACTTGTACTATTCTGGCACTTGCCCTTCCACCTGGTGGGGATTGGTGGCATACCTTTTTCATTGAAACTCTCACTCTCAGGCCAAACTCCTGAATCAATTAGTGCTATGATCACACCTTCACCATATGATGACGCATTCACACACCCAAAAGAATGCCTCAATCCAAGAAACTCGGGCGAGTGTGTGGTGAACAGCTTGCCAAATGCCTCCTCGCGTGTGGCAACATGAGCCGGAGATTTCTTGAGTTCTGCTACTTGAGATGGTGTGAGCCTAGCACTGAACCCATGCATGACATGGTTGTATGAATAAAGCAACATCTCTTTGTCATCAACCGGTTTTGACAATGACCTCAGGGTGGCTCGGTGCCAAGATTCATGGGTCAAGAAAGATGAAGGTACGTGAATGGTCCATGTGGACTATGTACGTCTTGTATTTTTCAGGTTTGGCATTGCAGTGTTGACTCCAAATAAGAAAAACAGTAGCAATGATAGAATGCGGAGGTGGTAATTTCGTAGACTCATCTTTCAAGTCTTGCAGACGAGGGCTGATAGACTAGGAACGCCTGAGTTTGATGGTTGTCTGTCCCACATATATAGATGTTAGAAATGAAACAAAAAGACGTTAATTGCACAACGTTAAATCCAAGTCAGTTTGGCTTCATGTTCGATTTCTTTTATGTGTTGATTTCTCCTAAGTTTTGCTCATGAATGTTTACTCCAACCACATATAAGACTGGTTGGATTATGTTTGGCTTTTCTATTGGTTTGATTATGGTCTCGTCGGGATCTCAATTTTTGTCTTTACGATTTTCTTTTCCGGGTAGCTTCCATGAAATGAAGGGACTCAGTTTCAGCTAATGGTGCTTCGTTAACCATTAACAAACTGATCAGTTGGCTTTTTTCTATTTCAAAGAAGAAACCGTTAATGTCAGAGCAAATAATAAACGTGTTTTTGTCAATGCCAATTAACAATTAAATAAATAAAGGATGCCAAAAAATATTATGGGAATTTTGATATATACAAAAGAAATATTTTCTTTTATTTTTTTAAACAAAATTCTTATCATATATATAAGATTAGAGAATTAATTTTTTGTATAATAAAACTTGTAAATGTTAATAAGATGATAAAGAATTTACAATTTATGAGGTACATACAAATTACTTTGGTGTTCAAACATAAATGAAGTACTTAATGAATTCTATTCTGCTTCTCAAAAAAAAAACATAAATGAAGTATTCTATTCAATTTTTATTAAATTAAATGATGGGTACAATTCTCTATATAATGTTAGTGTACAAGAAAATAATCTTGTGATTGGGACTCTCTAAAAGTAAAATATGGATAATTAACATGAAAATAACTTGATCTAGAATGGAGTAATCCAACAGATCTTCAAAACAATGTCTCTATGTGGTAAAGAAGAAGTTTCTGTAACTTGATAATTTGATTAGGTGGGGTGTCTTTTCTGTGAAATTGGTTGACTATTGAGATTCAAAGATTACTTTATATATTATTAGTGGTTCATTTATGGTTTTAGTAACCCTAATGTGTAATATTGAGCCAATTACTACAATTTAGTTAGACTTTAAATGGAAATTAATCCAAACTATTTTTTTTAAGATTATAACTTAATGAATTTATTTGACCAATTAAATATTTATTTTAAGTGATTAAAATACTTTTACCAAATTTTCCCAGGTCTACGTACGGTTCAAATAACATGGAACCTTCAGTTTTGCAATGCCAAGTAATTTGTAAATCGATTAAGTTTCCGATTATTTTTGTTTTTTGAAAAGCACCAATTAATTATTATACAAGCATAAAATTTTCACATAATGTTGCTAATGTTTATTTACTGTATGATCACAATCTTTTATGCATAAACTAATGACTTTATTTTACAAAAAGAAAAAACACACCCGACCCCCTGGAATTTTGTTTCACCATTAATGACACATCAAGTGGCAACACACAAAACCAACTATCACGATTGATTAAAGGCAGAAGAGAAGCAAGTAGAACTTATCAATGCCCTTAATCTTTGGTAGAGATAATGGTTCAAACAGAGAAAATCACGTCAGGAAATCAGGACCACTATAGGACTTGAAACTGTGTGATTGCGTTGATCAGTCCACTTGAGATAACCATAACTCCTAGGGGAGATGGTCCATCAATCTTCTACACTCACCATAAAACTTAGCTTGATATTTCTTCGTGTACGTCAGGGTGCTCGGTTCGACTCTAACTGTCATCACACTAGAACTTCCTACAACTGCCTGGTAAACTGATTGATCATCTCCCACGTTAGTAACCACCCTGGAAAAATTCTTTACCTTTGGAGAGCTGGCTTCTTCATTAAATATGGCAACAAAAGATGGATAGTTCAGGTCGGTTTCCTTTTGGGTGCCGTTCCATTGACTTTGCCTAAGAACAGCTCTCATCTCCGTGTCATTGTAGCCTAAGCCGCACAGGAAATGGATGTAATTTTGTGTATCCATGTCATAAATGAGTCCAGGATCCAATGCTTTATTCGGATTGATATGACCTGCCCCATAATCTAGAGGTGTTGCAGGAGAAACATACAATTGATTTGTCCAAGTAGTTCCATTGTTGTTGATGGTATAGGCAGTGGTCATCAAAGCTGATCGGATGGCTGCAGGGCTCCATTCAGGGTGCACAGCTTTCAGTAAAGCTACCACTCCAGCAACATGGGGTGCTGCCGTTGATGTGCCCGATTCTTAATTTTGGAAATGGTGGGACTGCAGCCAGCACGTCGACCCTGGAGCAATAACATCTGGTTTTAAAATAGCAGGGTTGATTGGATCTGGTCCCCTTGAAGAGAAAACGGCCACTTGTGGTGCCGGTTTTGCACCCAAACTTGTGAGCACAAACCTCATGTTTTTCACTACTGCTTTAATACCTGCACCCATTGCATACTTTCTAACCAAAGCTCCGGAAGAAGTAAGCAGGACTAGGATGGGATTGCTGAGATCATCTAAAGCACCAAAAGGGATTTGATCTGCCACTATTATACCTGCATATGCACCTATCTTGTAAGGCTCATTTATTTGCTTCGAAGTGATGGTAATTCCTGCGTAATCGCACAAGACTACCTTTCCAGCAGTTTCATTTTTGTTTAATGACTCGCACATTATTTTCCTAGAATCACCTTTTCCATAGTATAAAGATGCATTTGATATTAGGACACTCTCAGGAAAAGTTGATTCCCCTTCGAAGGTTAATCCATTTCCTAGAGTCACTGTTGCAGTGAAAGTTCTGTTAAGTGTACCAGCACCTTGATTGAGGACTGTCAACCCCAAAAACACTCATTTATCTTATCACTCTGATAGAGTTTCATTAGTATTAGACTTTTGTTTAGGAATTTATCCAGAACTCTGCTTGTTTTTGAGATTATGCGTGTTGAGATGTTGCCAAGTGCTCCTTGAGCAGCTGCTCTTTTCGTAATTGTTCAGAACAGGTTCTTCTCATGATAGCTTCCATGCCAACAGGAGTTTCCAAATCTTAACGTTGAAGACTCCTCACGGTATTCCAGCTTATCATTAATAAAAACTCATCTTTCAAAAAAAAAAAGTGTACCAACACCTACGGTTGCAATCCTTGGTGCGGCATTCTTTGTAGAATTATATGCTCCCAGATTACCAGCACTACAGACAACAACAATCCCCTTCTCACTAGCTGAAAGTGAAGCTATAGCTATGACATCTTTGAAATATGGCTTCTGCTCGAAACCAAGAGACAGTGACATGATATCTACGCCATCTGCAATTGCTTGGTCCATAGCCACAAGAACATCACTTTCAGCAATATCTTCTGTGTTTGCGACCTTGTACATGGCGAGATGAGCACGAGGTGCCATTCCTCTGGCTATGCCCTTTGCATATCCAAATTGACTTGCACCAGGTAAATGGTTACCCGCGGCAGTGGATGCTGTGTGTGTTCCATGTCCAAGGAAATCTCTTGGCGAATTGTCTGCTTCCTTCGAGTTTTTTGCTTGGAATGCTTTGATAAATGTACGCGCGCCAATAAGCTTTTTGTTGCAAGGAAAGGGGATACTCGTACTATTCTCACACTTTCCCTTCCATCTTTGAGGGATTGGTGGCATCTCTTTGTCATTGAAACTCTCACTCTCAGGTCAAACACCTGAATCAATGAGACCAATGATCACACCTTCACCATATGATGAAGAAGGCTACAAACCAGAAGAATGCCTTAATCCACGAAACTTAGGGGAGTGGGTAGTGAGCAGCTTGCCAAAAGACTCCTCATGTATGGCAAGATGAGATGGAGACTTCTTGATTTCGGATACTTGGGATGGTGTGAGCCTGGCATGGAATCCATGCATGACATGGTTGTATGAATACAGCAACATTTTTTGATCTTCAACAGCTTTGGACAATGATCGTAGGGTGGAACGATGCCATGACTCGTGGGTTAAGAAAGCTGAAGGTTTGTGAGAATGGTCCACGTGAATTATGTAGGTCTTGTATTCTTCAGGTTCTGACACTGCATTGCCAATTAGCAACAAGAACAGTAACCATAACAGAGCACTCGATGAGCATCTGCAGAGCCTCATCGTTCTATGCATTGGTTTGAAGAAATAGCAGGAAGATTTGAACTTTATGATTTTCTTTCCCGAATTTATAGACGTTTAATGCAATAAGACGTGTATAAACATTTGTGTCCTTTCTCTGCAGCTCTCTCCTATTTGTCTCTTTCTCCTCTTGGTTGTCATGATTCATGAACGTTAACTTCAATTCGTTTTCTGATTTTGTCTTCATATCAATTTTGGGAGCTTGCTTCTGTCAGTATCTCAAATATTTATTTGTTAATTTGTGAATTTTTGTTTCTCGTTTTTGACAGCATTAATGAATAGACAATTTTTTTCAGAGTTCAGGCTTCATTTTCCATTACTGAATATTCTCTTTTTGGTTCCTATTTTATTTGACTCGGCTTGCGTTGATGAATGTATAACTAGGAAAGTTCAAATCTCTAATCAAAAATGGACTACGCGCTGTGGTGATCAAGTTTGCTTATTCTTTATTAAGTATTCATTGAGTTTCATACAACTAAGCAAAAGAAAACAGAAGTAAAAAAATGTATGCTCCACCGCACACAATACCGGACAAGCATATGGCAACATATCAGTATAATTATGTCCATGAAATTAACAGACAACATTTCCTCAACTTTTCCATGAAATTAATATTTGACTTGTTTAATTATGTCCTTCGATCAGCAAAACGACATTGGGTATTCTTCAATCTGCTAAATGAAGTCGTCCAAAGCCTGCTGGTTAAACTATTCATTGCATCGCAGGGGTTTACACTGACAATTTAAACAGAAACAGAAACTTTGTTCTAACCTTATGAACACAAATTAATAATCAAAATAAACAAATGAAGGTTTTGCAAATAGATGCGGCCAAGAAAAGAAATCTTTTGTTCAAAGTCAATCACGGAATCAAGATGCAAACTTCCTCCCTTGTTTCCTCCAGGCTGGAAAATATTTTGGCTTTACGAGTAGCACCTGCGCTGAATATTTTTACTCAATGCTTGGAAACATGGCCTTGTGGAATATGTCTCGTAAGAGTTCAAACCCCAATTACATACTTATTCGAACACTTAGTTTGGATTTTCTAGTCAAGTTCAATCGTTATGTAACAATTGTTACTGTAAAAGAACTGTGGAGAAAACATATTACTACGGACATTATCCTTTCTTTGAACTGTTGCTTCCTGTGAATGGCATTTTGGATTCGTTGGCTTCAATTGCTTGGACAAAACTATAAACATCATATCTGAAATGGGACTTAAAGTAGAGAAACAAGAAACTAATCCAAAATTGAACAAAGAAAGAAGCCTCACTCTATTCAAGACATTAAGAGCTGAGGAGCAAGTCTATGGATATATCCTCAACAAAGATGTTATAAAGTTGCCCGGAATCAAGCTCTGTCAGAATTGGATTCTTACAGCTGGGCTCCTTCTTTTCTTTCCTTTTGATTCTGCTGTATGTAGATTGCTCTTTTTCATATGAAATTTAATTATTGAAGTACTGCAAGTGATAAGAGCAAATATGGCAATTCCTTCAACAAGGCTGTTTATCTAGAAAGAATTATAGTAATGGTGGGTGTGAGTAATCAAACTTGAGACTCATTTGATATGAGTGCATCATAGTATTCTCCTATAACAAGAAAGGAGAAAAAAAGACCCAATTAAACAAGGCCAAGCTCATATAAAATAATATCGCTAACAATGGTATTCAAGTTCTACGTGAAGGCCTGAGTATGGACTATAGAATACTGATTTGGACTGAAACAAAAGAAAAAGCAGAGTCATTGAGAGGTATTACTTCAAATTAAGAAAATTATAGATTAAGATCATGACATGGAAATCATAATCCCATATCAAGAGAAACATCCAAATGTAGTAGTAATGGTAAGGTTGTTTTCTATGGCGGACTTAGATATTAAGCTTGATATGGCTAAAGTCCTTATTATGCAGAGAAAATGGCCATCAAACACGCCCTGTGCATCGCCCTGTGCATGTATGCGAGTTCTCCTTATGCAGGTAACCACCAACTTGTTGTGGAGTCTGACTCTATTGTGGCGCTCACTTGGGTGGAGAAGGTGAATCATAGACCTTGGAATATCTGGCATATTCTCAATGAAATAGATACAATTAGGGTGACTTTTGGTAGAGTGATTTTCCAACATATTATGCGAGATGGGAACTCGTTTGCTAACAAGCTTGCTAAACATGGTGTTGACTGTGAGTCTATGTTCACAGCATGGTGGTAGCTTTCATCAGTAAATTTCTTTATGAATAGTTTTAGTTCACAATGTTCTGATATTGTAAAGCTTAGCTTAGAATTATGGTACCCTCCATATCGGATATGTTTTGTTTGCTGATGTTATGTATGCATGCTCACACCAGTTGTACTCTGATTGTAGTATGAACAGTTTACTGTACCCTTACTATCTTGGGCAGATTATTAATGAAAATACCTTACTAGCTGCGAAAAAAAAATTACTAGAAAGGGCCAAAAGAAAAGAAAAGAAAAACAAGGAAAAAAAAGTAGTCTTGCGTTGACTCGGAGGAAGTGGAAAGGACGCACGTGCATATTTTCCAAAGAAAACTATCTTTGGTCACCTCTTTAGCCTTTATTTTATAGAAAATGGGAACAGAAATTAATGCAACATAATGGTTGTATTTTTTAAAAGGTAAATTTATTGATTTTTACAATCAGTTTGTCGTTGTAAATCTCTTATGTTTTTTGACAAAAGGCTTTTCATGATATCAAAATCTGATTTGGACAAAATAAACTCTGTACAATTACAAAAATCAAAACCGCAACAAAAGTTATTGACGGTATTGCTCAAAGGCAAACCTAGCTGCATCCAAAAAATACAAGCAAGATGTGTCTCATTAGAAGTGTTAGCTGGGATTAATGCTGGGAAACCAATCGGCGCTAGCCAGGCTGTTTATGTCCTGGTCTTGGGAGGGTAATCCGCAGTGCAGGGGATCAATTTGGGGGCTGTGGTCCCTTTTACCTGGAAAAAACAAAACATGAAAAAGGGCTAGAAGGAAGAAATAGAAAATTTTGTGAAGCAACGTCCGAAACGTGAACATGTCTGCCATGATGTGACTTGATTTTTCAGGTTGACAGCTAATTGATAATGACATTTCGGAACCCGACTAATCCTAGAGAAAGAAAGAAAAAATTGACAAGATTAAATGGAAACCGTCTTATTGGTACTTGTCTTTTCTTTTCTTTTCTTCTCCACAATTGTTAGGATAATAAAAGCAGAATATATTCACTTCCCTACATAATAAAAGCAGAGCGTCGATCTTGGTCGTTCAAGAAAAAAAAAACAATGAGTTTTTCCAATGGGGTTTGTCAGCTAAGCTGTTTACGCTCTGTCTTCCTCACATTTGTTATGTTCAATCTCCATGTTCACTCAGTGTCAGTAAATACATATATTGTCCATATGGACAAGTCCTTCATGCCCAAAGTCTTTGCTAGTCATCATAGCTGGTACTCCTCCACAGTTGATTCTCTGAAATCAAGAAACACTGCCTTATCGAACAACCCTCGATCCTCACCAACTCTGATATACTCTTATGATAGTGCAGCTCATGGTTTTAGCGCTGTCCTGTCCCCTGATGAACTAGAAACGCTAAAGAAGTCCCCAGGATTTGTCTCAGCTTATCCTGACAGGAGTGTTACTCTTGACACAACCCACACCCCAGAATTCCTGTCCCTCAACCCTTACTCTGGGCTATGGCCTGCTTCAAACTATGGTGAAGATATCATCATTGGTGTTATTGACTCTGGTGTTTGGCCAGAGAGTGACAGCTATGAAGATGATGGCATGACTCCAGTTCCAGCCAGGTGGAAAGGTGTATGCGAGGAAGGACAGGAATTCAACTCCTCCATGTGTAACTCCAAGTTAATTGGAGCTAGGTACTTCAACAAGGGTGTGATTGCAGCAAATCCTGGAGTCAACATAAGCATGAATTCTGCTAGAGACACTATTGGTCATGGAACGCATACTTCCTCCACTGCAGGTGGAAACTATGTGAAAGATGCATCATTTTTCGGGTATGCTAAAGGTACGGCAAGAGGTCTGGCCCCACGTTCCAGGCTGGCCATGTACAAGGTCCTATGGGAGGAGGGGCGCTACTCAGCTGACGTTCTTGCTGGTATGGACCAGGCTATTGCCGATGGTGTGGATGTGATATCAATATCTATGGGGTTTGATGAAGTGCCATTGTATAAGGATCCTATTGCAATTGCCTCGTTTGCTGCTATGGAGAAAGGGGTGCTAGTCTCATCATCAGCAGGAAATGAGGGGCCAAATTTAGGGACCTTGCACAATGGAATCCCATGGGTCCTGACAGTTGCCGCTGGCACCATTGATCGTTCTTTTGCTGGAATTGTGTCTCTAGGAGATGGGCAAACCATCACTGGATGGACCTTGTTTCCAGCAAGTGCTTTAGTTAAAGAGTTTTCATTGATTTACAACAAAAGTCTATCAGCATGCAATTCAAGCCATTTGTTATCTGACGCCCCCGATGGGATCATCATATGTGACAATACCGGTTCTCTCCCTATTCAGATAGGGCGTATCACTAGGTCAAGGGCGTACGGAGCAATATTTATTTCTGATGAACCAGAATTACGCCGTAGTATGCCCTGTCCGGGTGTTGTGATTAGTACCGAGGATGCACCTGCTCTTATTAAATATGCCACAAGTAATAAGGATGCCACAGCTAGCATCAAGTTTCAACAGACCATTTTAGGGACAAAGCCTGCACCAGCCGTGGCCTCTTACACTTCAAGAGGTCCTTCACCAAGCTATCCTGGCATCTTGAAGCCAGATATAATGGCACCTGGTTCTATTGTTTTGGCTGCTTATAGTCCAAACAATATTGCAGCTACAATAGGGGCGTATATATTCTTGTCCAGTAACGTTGCTATGCTCTCTGGAACATCCATGGCTTGTCCGCATGCTTCTGGTATAGCCGCACTCTTGAAAGGTGCACACCCTGACTGGAGTGCTGCTGCTATAAGGTCTGCTTTGGTGACTACTGCAAATCCATTAGATAACACTATGAAACCAATCAGAGACAATGGTGATGACAATATGTCTTTTGCTTCACCTTTAGCCATGGGAGCAGGACAAATTGATCCAAATCAAGCACTTGATCCAGGTTTGATCTACGACGCAACCCCACAGGACTACGTCAATCTTTTGTGCATCATGAATTTCACTCAGAGTCAAATCTTGACCATCACAAGATCAAAGAGATACAACTGCTCGAATCCATCTTCTGATCTTAACTACCCATCTTTTATTGCTTTATACAATCCTAATGTGACGGAAACTATAGCCAAAATATTCCAGAGGACTGTGACAAATATGGGAGAAGGTGCCGCAACATACAATGTTAAGATAGTGCAGCCTCAGGGTTCAACTATTGTTGTTTCGCCAAAGACATTGGTCTTTAAAAATACATATGAGAAGCAGATCTTTAGCGTGACTATAAGTTATAGCAGTCACAAGGAGGAAAGAGTTTCATTTGGTGAACTTGTTTGGGTTGAAGAAAATGGAAAACACACCGTCAGGAGCCCTGTTGTGGTGTCACCTACTGTAAGTTCTTGAGAGGGTTTATTCAATGTTTATATTTAAGAGCTTTGGGGTTAAGGTTTGTGTCTAAGGACAAGTATTGAACCAGCTTCGCAAATAATATGCTTTGCCACCGTATACAGTTCTCTTTGCTTTCTTGATAGAACCAACGGGCCTAATTTCCGGCAACACTTCATTATTAAGATGCAACAAGTGGACGGCCATTGTTTTCATCAACTCTCTTCCCGAAGCTCATTTCTTGTGATTGAATTTGAGTAAGACCAATCATTCTAAGGATTCAATTTTGTCTGCAAGCCATTTCTGTGACGACATTATCAATCTTCTATGCCTTTCAACAATATGGAAACAACGGACAAAAATTACTTCGTGATGTTGGTTTCTTGCAGATTTTTCATCTGAAAGCACCCCATAAGGACAATGATTTAAGGATTTTGACTGGTTGCTGCCAGCAACGCTGATAGCACTTTACTTCCAAATTGTGTGTTTTAATCGACCCTTTGTCAAATCCAGACAACTTTGTTTTCCTTTTATTTCTGATTGATTTGGCCCCTCTTGTAACGATTGTGGATTGAAAAATAAAAGTATTTTCTCTCTCGTTGAGCCCACCAGCAAAGACTCCTCGTTAGGAAGTTTCTTATAGGAAAGATATGTACATGCGTGTTAAGATTCATTGTTTTTCTCCTTGTTTTAAAAGTCTTGGAATTCACTTACGCGAAGCCATGTACTGGTACATTTATCACGAACAGCAGCTTCTTCAATTGCCCTTTTTCAACAGAAATATTTTCGAAGATCTTGTTCCTCAAGAAAAACAATCCTGAAGGAAACCTCTCCCCCAATTATCTGTGTGCTTCGAGAAGCATACAAAGGGAAGGATACTGAGGCCTTTTCGTTTATAAGTCCCACCATGTTCTATTGTACCCTATAGTTCTGACGTCCCTTTCAGCTGGTCAATCACAAATTACACTCCACGCAACAAAAGTATAAAAATACTCTGCAGTTATACTGGGCTCAATGCCCTATTTTTGAGCCCTGACAGAATGTGTCATAGACTTTTTGGGCTTTGACTCAAACATCGACCCCTTACAAACTGCACATTAAATAAAAAAAAGCAATAAAAAGATTCATGTACTGGCCCAAGCCCAAATTTCTTTTGCCAATACCGAATTGTATTTATATTTATAAATTAGTTTTTAGTTTGTTTACTAAATATGATGAACTAAGCAAATAGTTTCATATCATTATAAACTATTTAAAAGGTTATTGCAAGGGTTGCATAATGCGTAATAATTGCAAAGAGAAAACAAAGTTCAAACGCGTTTTCCACCTTACAAATGGACATCAATGGGTAGTTTTAGTATTACTATTGTTTTTCTTGTCAAGAAAATTACACTCCTACACATGCAGCAAGCAAGCTTTACAAATTCATACACATGTAGAAAATTTAACTTCAATTGCTTTGTCAGGCCCTATTAGAAGATAGAATCTCTATCATGCCCATTAAGCTATAGAGAAAAAATCAATTCAAAAAGTTATTGTAATCAGTCTTTTTTAACGATTAATGCGCATGATAAGAAAACTCTCTGAAATAATTTTTTGAAATCGATACAAATATAATATATATATATATAGAGAGAGAGAGAGAGAGATGAAGTGAGAGAGAGAGAGAGTCAGCATCATGTGAATAAAACAAATGGTTAGGACCACAAGCAACACGTCTCTCTGTTTTTTGCCAAATAAAAGCACATGGAAAGTGGCCACATTAAGTTTGGTGTTTGATCCTCTTGGCTACCACCCTAGCCACCCACCCTCACCCATCTATCCATAGATTACGCGTTTAACTCCCACTTTGGGCTAATTAAACAGCACATTGGTGTCAATGGGTTTTCTCTTATCTTCTTAATTGGAATAGAAAGATGAAAAGAAACCATAATAATTAGTCTTATTAAGTTATGATGAAGCCGTTTACTTCTGCTCTGAATTCCCGCATTGGGAAGAACAATTTTATGTTGAAGAAATTGAGGACTGAAGCGACCCTTGATCAAACAATTGTCTTCAAATTCTCCAAGATTAACACTGTTTTAGCCCAATTTACAACAACTTGTACTTCTGCAGCATCAAGTTGAAGGAAGGGCTTTAAATTGCGTGTCTCGCTAATTAACCATTCCCCAAAGTCTCAAGGCAATCATTGCTTTTCAATTAGCTCCACATTAATTCATCATTCACCAATCTCAAGCTTGAGAATTTTTGGCCTGGCTAACTATTACTTCGATGATTGCAACCCTTGTAAAAGACTAGAGAGTTAACTTAAAGGCACTGTCATGCAAACAAAAAATTAAAAAAACTCCGATGTAATCGGCATAAATCAAATTCCTTGAATACCCTAATTTCCGTCTGGTTTTACGAGTGAAAACTGCTCTAAAGTCTAAAGTAATGAACTTCATCAACTAAAACGAGACAAAGTTAGCACAACAACAATTTTTTTGGTGTCGTTATCATTCACATGTGGCTGCAATGCGTGGTTCCTTATGAGAAAAGGTTTTCAACATCTTTTTTCTCGTATTTTACAGTTGAGTAGCACTTCATTGTAACCACACTTACTTTGGCATGAGAAATCCGAATTGATTTGGGAAAAAAATGATATGAGATAAGAAGATAATTTATGGTCAATGAGGTGACCCTTGCATATAGTGCTCCCAAATTTTCCAGATGGACGAATTCCTTTATAGTAACAAGTCAAGACTGTCTTGAGTGATATAGGATTTGTTCTATTGTGAGCTCGCACATGGTGGGCTCTAGGACCTCCAATCAGTGGATATCATCAAAACTGACTCATTCAAGTAACGCCGTATTAATTACAAACCATTTTGGAAGGAAGTTGTCAACAGGGAGAGAGAATCAAAGTTGAGAATGTAATGATAATGGATATAGGCGCTTGCGAGCAAAGGAACAGTTTCATATATATGTCAGCATTTTCCTCTTTGAATCCATGGTACGAGCCACTGGCCTTTTCGGGAAGGAAAATTAAGCTCCAAAACTCAATGGAACTGATTTAATTGGCAGACCCTAGGTAGACCATGAGGTGAAGGAAAGGACCATCAAGCTCGATGCGAGCTAGTTCGCTGTAGAAAAATATAGTGGATATTTTAGAGGTCTCTTATTTGGATTCCTTTGCGACTAAGTTGATAGACTTCTATAGGGAAGAATAATTTCATGTTTACACGCCTCCCAATTCCCTATATAAGCTCACCAATTTCATAATTGTCCTAAAACATATCGCTTCCCAAATTCCAATTCTCTACCATGGCTGCTGATCATACTAAAATCCTGTTCGTTTGGCTTTCCTTCATCATCCCATTTATCTTTACCAAGCTAGCAGAAGCTGACAATTATATTGTCCAGATGGACCTATCAGTCATGCCCAAGCCTTTTCCGGCCAGCAAAGCTGGTACTTGGCCACCCTTGCATCTTTATCAGCCAACTGGAGAGCTAACACCAATGCAGCAATTCCCTCTTCTAAACTTATCTATACTTATAACCATGTTGTTCAAGGTTTTAGCGCAAGTCTCACACCGGCAGAGCTTGAGGCCTTGAAAAACGCTCCAGGGTATGTTTCTTCCATTAGAGATAGAACTGTCAAGGTTGATACCACTCATTCTTTCAAATTTCTAGGCCTGAATTCCGACACAGGTGCGTGGCCGGTGTCAAATTTTGGCAAAGATGTCATTATTGGGGTGATTGATACAGGGGTTTGGCCAGAAAGCGGAAGCTTTAATGATAATGGAATGACTGATGTTCCATCAAAATGGAGGATGTGTGAAGTGGCACCCAATTCAACTCCTCATTGTGCAACACAAAAGCTCATTGGTGCGCGGTCTTTCAATAAAGGTCTGATAGCCCACAATCCGAATATCACCATCTCAATGAATTCTACGCGCGACACAGAAGGACACGGGACCCACACTTCAACAACTGCTGCTGGAACTTATGTGCAAGATGCATCATACTTTGGCTATGCCATGGGAACTGCTAGAGGAATGGCCCCAGGGGCTCGGGTGGCCATGTACAAAGCCCTCTGGGAAGAAGGAGCTTACACAACAGATATAATTGCTGCAATTGATCAGGCAATTACTGACGGTGTTGATGTTCTTTCCATGTCATTGGGCTTGGATGAGCTTGAATTGTATGAAGACCCTATTGCAATAGCCACATTTGCAGCCATAGAGAAGAATATATTCGTTTCAACATCTGCAGGAAATGAAGGGCCAGATGTGGAGACCCTACACAATGGTACACCTTGGGTTTAACTGTCGCTGCTGGTACCATGGATCGAGAATTTGGCGCAACTTTAACTCTTGGAAACAAAGGGTTCCGTGGATGGTTTGGCTCTATTTCCAGGGAATTTTTCTGCAAGCCAATTCCCAATTGTTTTCGACGCATGTGAGAAAGCTAGTGAATTGAAGAAACTTGGGCAAAAGATTGTTGTGTGCCAAGATCCAGGCAAGGAAGATTCCCTCAATGACCAGTTTAACAGCGTCCAAGTTGCAGGAAATGCTGCTGGTGTCTTCATAACGAATAACAGTGACGTGGAAGTATTCATCCAGGGCCCATTTCCAGCCATGTTCTTGGAACAAAAAGATGGTGATACCGTTCTCGACTACATTAAGAGCAACATTGACCCAAAAGCCAGCATTGAATTTAAAAAAACGTTCCTGGGTACTAAACCTTCGCCAACTGTAACTAGCTATACCTCTAGAGGGCCATCCTACAGTTGTCCATCTGTTTTGAAGCCTGACATTATGGCTCCTGGTGACTTAGTCCTAGCTGCATGGCCTCCAAACCTTCGAGTGGCCCGTGTAAATGAGGGCCTTGTGTTTAGTAACTTCAATTTACTTTCGGGAACATCCATGGCATGCCCCCATGCGACCGGAATAGCAGCACTTTTGAAAGGAGCATATCCTTATTGGAGCCCCGCAGCCATCAGATCAGCCTTGATGACCACATCTGATCCCATTGATAACACGGGCAGTCCTATCAAGGATACAGGTGACAATCTCCGACCTGCCAGTCCTCTAGCCATGGGAGCTGGTCATATCAATCCCAACAAAGCGTTAGACCCCGGCCTCATTTATGATGCTACCGTTGAAGATTACGTGAATCTTCTTTGCGCACTCAACTTCACCGCGGGACAAATTAAAACCATCACAAAATCATCAAACAACTGTTCGAACCCGTCTCTGGATCTTAACTACCCTTCTTTTATTGCGTTTTTCAATGACAGGGACCCAAAACCAAATTCTAAAACTGTGAAGGAATTTCAAAGAACGGTGACTAATGTCGGAGAAGGAAGCTCCACCTACAAAGCAACACTAACACCGATCAATGGAGTTAAGGTAACTGTCGAGCCAGACCAGTTGGTCTTCAAGGAAAAAAACGACAAGAAAAACTTCAAGCTGAGTGTAGAAGCTCCAAGTCAGCTGGATGAGGCAGTGTCTTTCGGTTATCTCACTTGGGAAGACATAGGAGGTAAACACGTCGTCAGAAGTCCCATAGTCGCCACAAGCTACAGCGTAGAAAAATGACAAACTCATCTTGTAGACATGTGACCTTCAAGTTGCTACGCTGAATAAAGAAAATTACATTAAACAAAGCAAATGGTGTCTAAGCTTGCCAGTTGCAGTTGTTGCCTAAGGTTCTTTTAGCTTTACGGTCGCTAGCCAGTAAATTTTACTGTCACAAACATATTTAATGAATAAAGTTGAAACAATTTTATAATCTTAAAACTTTTAATTATTATTATTTTTTGAATGGCAAGTGATCACGTAACAGACCCAATTAAGATTTTCAAACTTTTAATTATTAGTACCTTCGAAGCTATCTTCCTGCTTACAACTTAACAACTGATCTTTTGTTTTTATTATAAAATTGTCACAAATAAATGAAGCTAAATGGCCTACGTTACTTGAAATTAAGTTGAAACTTAAAATCAATACTTTATGGACAAATAATTAATAGAATTGATCAGCTGGTTGTTGCTTGTCTGGAGGGGGTTCATTGATCAGGTCAATATCTGATCATATCCTGTTGGATGCATGATTAATTCAGTATCTTCCTAGTAAGTCTTACAAAAGTAAACCAAAGGGAAAGCCTCTTAATTTTCAACTATCCTGTTTCCTTCAATTCATGCTTCGTTTCCTATTGCCGACGAAACAAATAGAAATTGTTGGGTTTTGTCCATGGAACAGTAGTTTTTGTTTTCTTCTTTCTTTCAGCTACCTACTAATTAGTTAATTTCGCTTGAGACATATTCTGGACACAAAAGCATTTAAAATTAAAGCACAGAATGTGTGTTCTCTCGCCACAAGCACGCAAAATAGCCCATGTGTAGAAAACGACGTGACCTACAACAATTTGTGATTTGTCCATGCAAAGCCACTCGAAAGGGAGATACAAAGGGTGGCCTATGGGTTACGAATGTGGAAATGTTGCTGCATAAAAAGCGAATTCTGACAAACAACCGCAAGGGATTAAGACATCGCAACCACTGTCGTTATCAACGCATAAATCATTGATGATCGATCGAGCACAATAATTATTGTAGCATAGAGTATTAATCTGCAATCAATGTTGATCAGTTTTTGATTGATTAGCTTTTCGATTATTTGATCCCTCTTAAGTGGATTGCAGACATCTTTAATTCTCAATTCAACCGTATAACCCATTCATCCGATTCAATTTTTTCAACACGGCTTTTCGTGCGTTTTGGACTCAATGATCTGGAATCTATCTCAATCATAGTCGCATATATAGAAATTGCATTCAAACGTTATTGGATCTCACTTTTTCTTTTTTTTCCTTTTTGTCCATTTGCTATAGCTTGGAAGTCACCTCTTAGGCATATAGGGGAGAAGACACACACCATTTTCCAGATTCGTGGAAGACAATCAGGCCAAGCAATGCTACCTAGCTCGTTATTCTTATCCATCAATTATCATGGAGGAAATTATTGTTTTCTTATCTCGGATAAAATAGAATTACTGTTCAGCAATTATCATGGAGTGCGTTATTGTTTTCTTAGCTTGCAAACAAACAACGTGCTACCCTACCCGATTCCATATATATTATCTTGACCAGGAAAAGGAATTAGAAAAATGGAAGGGGAGGATATACTGCTCGTGTATAATGCTGCAATTGAAACGCAGAAGGCTTAGGTATGGGCAGGATGTTTTTCCACTTTTTTGGGTCCATCCATTTTCCGTTGATAATTTGGAGCCCCATGCTTTCACGTTCAGGAGTTGGAAAAGGAAAGCGTACAAGATTGCAATTTAACAGGATGGATGCATCAAAAATCTGAAAGTTTGATTCATCAATATGTCAGTTAAGATTATGGGGATGAGACGTAGAGATTTCTTCCAAGCTTTTTGGTTCTTCATATATCTGATCCAAGTCAACATGGATAATCCAATATACGAGCTGATCGTCAGGTGCCTGACTGGTGAAAACGGAATTTTAAGTTTGTCATTCAAGTAGAGCCCGTAAGGTATTGGACAGCCCTAGGATTGCTACAGAAACAGAAGGGTCTACAGCTTGGCCCAGTCATGAGGCCTCGTCTTCAACTGGCAAGGCTCTTTGCTGCCGGTGGACAATTGAGCCTCAAAGGATGAGCTTCCATAAGGTCCCCTCCCTACTAGGCTAGTGTTAAACTTACTTCTAGCCCATTACTCATTAGCCACTGAAGTTTCAGGATTTCAGCGGCTGAAAGAGGAATCCTGACAAGTTTTCTTGGACAATAATAAGCTAATCATACTTATCGAACTCAACGAATAAGGCAGAGGAGGATGAAATTTTGCAATCTATATATCTCGTGAATTTGTTAGGATTCAGGAGTCCAGTAATCATCTCTTTCATTGAAGGTATTTTAGCCTGTTCTCATTTTCTGGAAGCAACATAATTAAATAAACTTCAAATCAGCATGAATACGTGAATGCATGAATTCATCATGGGAAATGTTCAATGACAACTCTCAGGCACTTCTTAATTTGTGAAACGACTCCAAAAAAACAAAAAATATGTGAAAGATGTAGCTGGAGCATTTTAAAGCTTACAGGGGAGTTAGTCTTTGGCTCCTTCATGTTACATGTTCTTGTGTGTTACTTTTCCCAAGCCTTCTGTCTGCCATAGTCTTCTATTTGGAATTGAATTTTATACATCAAACAAGGTAGAAGGGAGGGATGCACAAGACATCTTTAGCATAAATGAAGGCATCCAACAATCTAGCTAATCTAAACTATAAAGTAACAAAAAATATCTGTCGAAGTCTAACTATCCAACAAAAAGGAAGTTTGAAAAAATACAAAAGAAGTGAAAATAGAAAAAAGCGGAGAACTATTGCTGTGTTAGGAGACATTCGGCGAGCAGGTATCTTCCACATGGGCTCACATGGTTTGATGTGGGAGGCCCAACTGACATACTTAAGATCCCAGCCGTTGATGGAAAGATTGCCAGTGTGACCCACAAATCCACAATTGGAATCACTTTCTCTTAAATTCTGAAACAAATAGTCAAAAGCCACCAGCGGCAATGTTTTATTTATATATTGCCTGCCTGTATAATACAGAAGGAAAGTAATGAATGAGAAAAAACGAAAATAGAGAGTGAGGACCATTCTCAATTGAGTAGAGACCAGAGAACCTCCAAATTATGAACAGGCGGTGGCTGGCCAGATGCTGTGTCCACTATTCTCTATTGTCCATCAACCAATAGAGTGAAACAACACTTCTCTCATTTGCCAGTCCAATGCCCATCATGGAGACCTCCGTTTTTACTAGCATTCCTCGATCATTAATTGCTAAAGCTATGGCAAACAAGCGCAAACAGATCCAACTGTGAGAACAAATCTTGCCTGAATCAAGTGCAACTGTTAGGCATGGGCAGGACTAGCAGTTGCAGGGAGTATTGCCTGCAT